TCTTTTCCAACCTAATGATTCTGTGATTCTGCGAAGAATTTCAGGGTTAACTTTTAAGCCAACTGGGAAAGGTGTCCTCCTGGGTTTCTTATATGTATATGGAGGGACTCGTGGGTGAAATGGTGATTGGTGGCTGTCTTGGTCACAGTGACCATTAACTAGTTGAGTTTCAAATCGTTGGTGATAGGAGAAAAACTGCCAGCAAAGTTTCAACCCTGGATATGGGAAGAGCAGACTTGGGGCTGTTGAAGGAGCTAGTTAGTAAGGTCCCCTGGGAATCTGCTTTTGAAGGTATTTGGGTCCATGAATGCTGGTTACTTTTTAAGAGCTGTCTCTTAAAAGCACAGGAGGAGGCAATTCCAAAGTGTGGGAAGCCAAGCAAGCAGGGCAGAATGCCGGCTTGGCTGACCGGAACTAGAACTTGGGTGGAAAAGGAAAGTGTATTGGAAGCAAGGACAGGCAATATGGGAGGACTATTGGGGAGCTATTCACCACTGTAGGGAGAAAATTCGTGCAGCCAAAGCTCGATTAGAGTTCAAGCTGGCAAGTACTGTGAAGGTCAACAAAAGGGCTTTTTAAAATATGTTAGCAGCAGAAGGAAGATCAGAGATAACATTGGTTTGTTACTTGATGAGGTCAGTCACCTCACCAATAGCGATGTAGAAAAAGTGAAGACCTTTAATGCCTTCTTTGCCTTTGTCTTTAACACTGATGATGGGCCCTGGGACGCCCAGAGCCCTGTGCTAGAAGACTGACTGGGGGTATGATGAACTCCCAGACGACTCTGAATGTGTTGGAGACTTGCTGCTCCAGCTGGGTGCCCAAAAGGCGATGGGGCCTGATGGGATTAATCCCAGGGTACTGCAAGAGCTGGCTGACATTATCGTGGGACCTCTCTCCATTATTTTTCAATGGCCTTGGGAATCTGGAGAGGTTCCAGTCGACTGGAAGCTGGCAAATGTTGTCCCAGTTTTCAAGAAGGGAAAGAAGGAAGAGCCTGGCAATTACAGGCCTGTCAGTCTCACTTCAGTGCCTGGTAAAATTATGGAAAAGTTTATTCTGGGAGTTATTGAGAAACATTTGAGAGACAATGCAGTTCTTGGTCATAGCCAGCATGGGTTCAAAGTCCTGCTTTTTTCTTTTATAAAAGTCCAACGTGATTTCCTTTTATGACAAGGTCACACATCTAGTGGACCAAAGGAAGCCAGTAGATGTGAGGTTTTAATATTTTAGCAAAGCTTTTGGTACTGTCTCACAGTATCTTTCTCAAAACCGTGTCCAGCATACAGCTAGACAAGCGCATAATATGTTCAGTGAACAGCTGGCTGATGGGTCGGGCTCAAAGAGTTTTAATAAATAGAGTCACATCGGGCTGGCAGCCAGGCACCGGTGAAGTTCCTCAGGGCTCAGTTTTAGGGACAGTGTTCTTTATTTATAAAAACATTAATCTGGATGCGGGACTAGTGAATGTACATAAAGTAAGTTTGCCAGTGATACTAAACTAGGAGGAGCTGTGGACTCCCTCGAGGACAGAGTGTTACAGAGAGGTCTGGACAGGCTAGAGAGCTGGGCAGTCACCAACTGCATGAAGTTTAACAAGAGTCAAATTCTCCACCTGGGACGGGGCAGTCCTCATTGTACATACAAACTGGGGGACGAGAGACTGGACAGCAGTCTTGTGGAAAGATATCTGGTTGATGGCAAGTTAAATATGAGTCAACAGTGTGCCCTGGCAGCCAAAAGAGCCAACCATGTCCTGGGTTGCATCAAGCACAGCATTGCTAGCTGGTCGAGGCGGGTGGATGATTGTTGCACTCTACACTGCACTGGAGCAGCCCCACCCTGAGTACAGTGTGCAGTTTTGGGCTCCTCAGTGTAAGAAGGACATCAGACTATTAGAGCGTGTCTAGAGAAGAGCAGCCAAGATGGGAAGGCTCTCAAAGGCAAGACTTAAGAGGAGCAGCTGAGGTCACTTGGTTTGTTCAGCTTGGAGAAGAGAAGACTGAGCGGTGCCATCATTTGCAGTTTGCAAGTTCCTCAGGGGGGGTGACGGAGGGGGAGGTGCTGATCTCCTGGAGCTCTGATGACCAGCGACAGGACATGTGGAAGTGGAATGAAGCTGCATCAGGGGAAGTGCAGATTGGACATAAGGAAAAGGTTCTTCACTGAGAGGGTGGTTGGTCACTAGAACAGGCTCCGCAGGGAAGCGGCCATGGCACCAAGCCTGTCAGAGTTCAAGGAGTGTCTGGACGATGGTCTTAGTGATATGGTTCAGTGTTAGGTAGTCCTGCCAGGAGCAGGGGGCTGGACTTGATGATCCTTATGAGTCCCTTCCCTCGAGATATTACATGATAAATCTTTGTTAAAAAGTTAGATTAAGTTGTTTCTGATCTTCCTACTAGTATCCCATAATACAAACTAGAAAAGAAAATAATGGCAGTTTTGTTGATAATATTTTCATAAACTAAAATCAGGAAATCTGTTTCTGACCTATATCATGCTGGTAAGTTAAAATTGTGCAAATAAAGCTACTGAGAGCTGAGTATTCTGAAGATGTTTTTTCCACAGCAGCTGTAAATAAGAATAGAATTCAAAAAACCAGTATGTTCCATTTTTAAAACTGTGTTGTCCTCTCCATGTTCTCCACATCCTTGAGGTGGAGGACTCAAAACTGGACATTATTCCAGATGCTGTTTCATCATCACTGAGTAGAGGAAGATCATACCCTGAGCACCAGGTCCATTGTTGGAAATCAGGATGCTAGGCTAAATGGTTGTATGGTCTGATCCAGTGCTGTAATTGTATTCTTACTCTCAAGGAAATAGAATAGCAAATGTTTATTGCAGCCAGAAAAAGTAATCTCTAAATACATTCATGAAACTTAGCATGCTTAAGGTTTGCATTTTTAATCATAACTGCAAATTAATATGTTTCCACCTAAATATCCATATGTACTTCTCTTGTTTTCTGTTGACATAGAATGTTTTTAGTTGTCAAAAACAACTTGTAGGAAATGCCAGTTGGCTTTGAGACCTTGCCATAGGTTAAGATAAAAGACAGTGAACCATTTAAAAAAGTAAGTCAGGGAGTATTTTCCATTTTAAAATAAAATTATTGATTTTGTGTGCTGCTTTAGTGTATTGTGATTTTTCCATACAAGATGTATGCTGTTAAAGGGAGAAAACCATGAATAAGCGACGTATCCCTTATGAAATCGTCACGGATATGAGGGCCTGCGTTGTCAATACAGAGGATGCTGACACCGCTGCAAAGCAGCAGTTGGACAGATGGGTAGTTCTATATGTGACTGCCTTTTATCTGCCAGTATAAGGTTGCTAGTCCAACCCGTTCTTTGTGTCCAACTCTGACCTCTGTCTTGCCTAAAATCCACTGAAGACTGTAGTAGTAGAGGTCAGCTGCTTTGTGCAGTCATCGTGTTATCACCAGTGGTGTAGTAATACTCAGTACAGAATCAAAACAAGGAATAAACAGCCATGGGGCCTGACAGAACTATGTCGTGAAGTCAGCAGTTAATGCTGTTCTACAAATGCAGCCAGGTCCTGAATTACAGTTATAGCCCATGCCTTTATTTATGCAAAATTTGTTAGCGGTACGCTGAAGAGACTAGAGCGGTTTCTTAAACTGACAGAATAATGGGGAGTGATTCTTAATTATATGAATCAGCTTATCTTGGTTCTTTAGCCTGTCTGCGTCCACAGGTGAAAAGCACGTATAATGTCTTCAGCTTTGTGTCGTGTCAGGGTCTTACGTTGTCACGTGCACATGCGTGTGTGTATAAGCACGCAGTTCTGTGATCTAAAGAGGTAGCACTGGTATATGGCAGATTCCACGCATGGTTTCTTACTCAGTATTTGCCTTCAATATCAGCTGGACAGAGGTGTGTAATGGGTTGTGTAGGCAGACCAGCATATCGATGCTGGGCCTGTGCTAGCAGAACCCCTAGAGTTGGGGATGGGAAAGGCAATTGGAGCTCCAAATTCAGAGCTTGTCTTAGCAGGTTGGAGAGAGAGTATAATATTCTGTGTGAGATCAATGCAGAGGGTGTTGGAAGAGAAAAATAATTGAGGGTCTGGCTTCCTACTTGATTATCCCTGTGATCATGTTGTACCGAATAAGATGCTAAGACTGTTCAGTTTTCAGATTGGATGATGCTATGTACACGGTAATTCAAGGCCAGAAGCTATATGTGTTGAAAAGATCAGTTGTGGTTTGTAAGCTATTTGTATCCAGGTTATGTATTATGGGCTTTTTTAAACCATGTGTTGTCCAGAGATGTTTTCCCACCTACCTCTTTCTTGAGCAGTCTCTGCTTTAGCAGATGCATATTGATGATAGCAGCATGTAAGCAGGGCCTTTAAAATCAGATGCCTTGCCTGTATGGCAGTTCTTTGCTATGTTTTCAGTCAGTCAGCTTTCTGAAATGTTACTCCAAAGATCTCTCAATGTAAACAAACTCAATACCCATGGCCATGTGGACAGAAGAGAAAAAAAGTGAATCTTAGATTTGCTAACAAATTCAATGGTTTTGTTCTATTTCTGTAGTTTCTCCCTTACCTTTAGTTGAATGCACGTTCCTTAATTGCTGTGGTAATTATTAAGATTACGTAAGTGGTGCTCTTCAAATTCTTAGATTGTTCCATTGTAAGCATAATACCTGGGGTTTATTTTCTGCCTTTTGATTCTATTTAAGGAAAAAGAGCG